CTGGGGATGGGAGACACCTCTTATCAACAAGGATGCCTGAACGAAGCATATTTGTATACCTAACCCTTAACTGTACCCCACAATATCTAAAAAATATTGATTATATACATGTCAAACAGTCTCTAAGACCCAAGGAATCCCATAGTGAGGTTTGGGTTTTGTTTTTCATCTTCTTTTTAGTCACAGTTTCTTCCAAGAGACTGCTCACAGGAAGACAAAAACAGACACAACCTCAGTAAAATGAAACAAACAGGAGAAGCTGAAATAATCTACATCTGAATGCTAAAAAACTCACCAGACACAAACCACACCAAACACTCATCCCATTTAATTTTCTGTTACATGCTCTGAGGAAGCCAAGAACATCAGGCCCCAGGGCAGCAATGCTCGGAGATTCTAGCTCAGGCCCCTTCTGTGTGACAGAATCATGCACACGTATCCACACATACCACTGACCCAGGCAGAAGTACACAAGCATACACAGGTGGCTAGAGAACCATAGGGCAGGATGAGAGGAGGAAGCTGGTCAAGGATATGCCGTTGAACTGGAAACTGGGGACCCAGAGAATGCTTCTGTTGCAGGCTGAACAAGAGTCAAAATCAAAACAAAGGCAGAACACAGGATAAAGGTAGGATGCTCAGACAAGAGGATGGACAGATGAAGAGGGAAAGATGCAGGGGGATTTCAGGAAAGCAGTCTCAGAACGGGGGGGGGGGGGTTCCTTTATTGGGAACTTAGGTGAGTAGAGGTCCTGTGACTCCAGTGATATACTGAGGCTGAAGGAATATGCCACAGCTTTCATTACCTCTGCCTTCTGTGCCCTCTCCCAAGGTAGAGGGAAACTATAAACATCCTCCCCATTGACACTCTTAGGGACTTTCCCAGTGCCCAGAAAGAATGTCCTGTCTCCCACCCCCCTAACACACACACACAGCTAGGTCCAGCATAGGCCAAAATTAGGCCAAGCATAGAAAGCCTCAATGCCTCAATAACTCTTCTTGGTGGAACCAAAGCCAGAGAAGCCCATCACAGCTGCCATCTCATCATCCTCCTCAAATGTCAAGTCCTCCTCGGCCCTCCTTTTCTTCTCCTTCTGTTTCTCTTTCTTGTACGCTTTGGCCTTTTCCTCCTCTTCTCTGAGCTCCTTCATCTTTTCCTCTAAATCATAATCCTTCTGCTTCTCTTCCATCTTCTTCTTGTTGACCTCAAAACATTTCTTCACCTGATCCAGGGTGGAACGTTCCACACGCATAGACATGACATGCCCAGGTTTCGCTGATGTTTCTTTCCATTTATGTGATCCAGGAAGTTGATGGAGTCCTTCACCACACAGTCACAGACATTGCAGTAATATCCTCCCATCTCAGACTGTGGGGTGGTCTTGGTAATGACAATTGTCTTTCCAAGCTTAGATTCCAGGTCCACCTTGTAGTCCCTATGCCACAGAAGCTCTCGCTTGATTGACTGCACCAGTTTTCCATCCTTCATTTCTCTCTCTTCCATGAGCCTCTTCTTGGCAAGCTTCTCATATTCATCTTTGTCCCACTTTTGGTGAAAGTTCAAGTTTTTTGTCCTGCTGCCCGACGCCATCTTCCATACCTTGTTTCTTAACTACCAAGGCAACAATTACTCATCACTGAAAGTTTATTTAAAAATAGGCATAGAAAGCTTGGTAACCATTTGATTCTGTTGAATCAAGTAAGAAACATTGTTCTAGCTGAGAGTTCCAGGAATGGTAGAATTGGCTTGTTAAGCAATCTGACCCTGGTGCTGTTATTTAGAAGGACTATTCCAGATTTTTCTCTTTTTTCTGGGTATATTTTTCTGTATCTGCTTCCTGTGACCAACAAAGCTCAATGATGGTAAAGTATTTTTCAGTTTACATATTAATTGACAATAAAGTGTGAAAATGTGAGAAAATTAACTTTGAATTGTGCAAATAAGTTGACTTATTTTCAATGTAAATTATTGACATAATTTTTTCCCCTGTTCTCTTTAAAAATTTTTCCCAGATATTTTGGCTCACTCTATTTCTGTACTAAAAGCTTAAATGATGGTGCCATTCAGTGAATTGAGGATTATAAAATAATAAGAGTTTGAGTAGAAAAACATTTCAGGGAAGCAAACAAAATGGGACATATATACATCACTGCCAGTCCCTCACATGTCAGACCTCAGTAATTCCTGCTTCCTCCAAGTGAAAACTTGTCTGCCTCTAGGAATAATAAATAAAGAACCTCTTGCAAATATTCCAATGGTCCCTTGAGAGATACTAGCTAAAAACTTGTGATTGTTTTTGGTAATTGGCAACTGGGAAAAAAGTTTTCAGATGTTCTCAGGTCCTGAGCCTTCATGCCCATTGCTGCCACAGGTGAAATGATAATTGTAGTTACCAGGGGAGGTGAAGTCATGAAATCACAAACTCATATCTAAGGGTCTGGCTGCTCCCCTTCCATACATGTACTGGCTGTAGTGACCATAACATTGAGCTCACCATCCTGGCAAAGAGAAAAGGCTGGGTATTTTTATTTCAGTCTGAGAAGCAGAGTTTATAAGGGAAGTCCAAAATCAAAATTCTGGGTATGTCATGATATCAGAAAAAAAGATTCCTCTAGGTTGAAACTGGTCCAGTGCCTAAGCCACACAGGAGGAGAATAAATTTCCTGGGGAATGGTTTGAGTTAGTAAGAGGAATAATGTTCCAAGATCTTACACCAATCAGTGATTACTCCCAATTTAATATAATAATCCTGTCAATGATTGTTGTTGTTTGATCAGAATGATAGTGAAATACAAAGTTAAAGGTGCTTAACAATGTCATTTTTAAATGGTACAAAGTTTCAATTACTAGGATAATGAATTCTGGGAATCTAATATATTGAACGATGACTGTATAAAAACAGGATACTGTTTACTTGAATATTTATCACAGCAGATTTTAAGTGTCCTTACCTACCCAACACACACACATACACTGGGTAACTATAGATGGTGAAAAATGTTTTTATTAATTTGACTGTAGTAATTAGCACACGATTTGCACATATATCAAATCATCACATTGTACATCTTGAATATATAAAAATTTTATCTCCAATTAAATAATTTTAAATAAATGTTTAAAGTGAAATAGGGGTTAATTAAATACATGCAGAAACACCTGAAAAGATATAAAAATGAATAAAATTAATCTGCTGTTCAATCTACTTTAAAGAAATCATAGACTAAATTTTGGGGGTTACTAAAGATATGCCTCTACCCCTTCATACTTGTAATAAGGAGTATGGTGAATTTACAGGAATAATATGATCCTATGTTGAAAGTGTATGGGAATGGCAGTTGCTTGGATTAAAAGGTTTTTCACTAACATTGGATATAATATGCAATTAGTAAAGACAGTAGTTGTGTCTCTACTCAAAATATCCATTGTCAATAGCTTGTGATGAGGCTGTCTTTTCTCTTAAAATTTAGGAAAGAAATATTTAAGAAAATATTAACAATTATTATAGCTTTCTGACAGGAGCTGTCAGGATTATCTCATGTTTTCACTTCTTCAAAAATATTCTCATTGATTGTAACAATTGTGTACAGGTGTAGGGATTTGATTCTGGGAAGCCTGTGCACATGCAAAAGGTGTGTGGGAAATCTCTGTTCCTTTCTTACAATTTGCTAGGAACCTAAAACTTCCCTTAAAAAATTCTACAAAAATACATGTTCTAAAAGCAATGCAAAATAAACTATTTTAATTTTTTAAAAATGCACAAGTCTTCACATGTTATATAGCCCTTTTGCAATATATCTTCACTTTAATATTATTCACAAATATTCCTTCATTGCTAATAGTTTTACTTAACTCAGGTATTAAATAGATAAGTATACAATTTAAATTAATAATAACTTTTTTCTACCTTACACCCTTTTCGCATGGATTGTTTCTTATGTCTTAAATTCAAGTGCATGGTAAATGACTGTTCAATAATTCTGATGACAGTACTTGTGATCCTAGCAGAAAAGGACAGGAGTCCTTCTGTAACTCTCCTAATATGCATCCATTATTGCATTCACTATGCATAATTTTTTTTTTTTTTTTTAGTTGGAGTCTCACTCAGTCACCCAGACTGGAGTGCAGTGGCCACTCCCGGCCACCACAGCCTCGACCTGCTGGGCTCCGGCGATCCTTCCGCCTCAGCCTTCCAAGTAGCCGGAATTACAGGCATGCGCTACCACGCCCGGCTGATTTTTGATTTATTGTAGAGATGAGGTCTCGCTGCCCAGGCGGGTCTCGAACCCACGGGCTCAGGCAGTCCACTCACCTCAACCTCCCAAAGGTGCAGGATTACAGACTGAGCCACTGAGCCCGGCTCACTATGCATCATTTGACATGGGATACGTTTTTGCACTATTAGACTGCTGTCAGGGCATCAATATTTATGAAGATATCTAAAGATAGTCTTATAATTGATATTAACATGAAATACAAATCTTTAAAAACAAATGAAATTTGTTGCAACAAAAAATTAAAATACAAGTCAAAAAGAAAATGACAATATAAAAACAAAGTTAAATAGCGATCTCAATTATTAAAATAAAAACGAACACAATTTTCTGGAGAGCCTGGTGGTACACTCTACTAGGGTAATCCCACTTGAACCCTAATCAGCTTGTGAGTTTACACAAATACTAAACCTCTCTGTGCCTGTGTTCTCCTCACTTTCATAATTAAAGTCATAGTGGTGCCTGCCTCATAGATTGTGAAGAATGAAGAGTCTGCATTGTGCACTGCTTTCATACCAGTACTGAATACATTGTAAATGCCCTTTCAAAGTTACACATCCAACTCCTGGAATCCTCTTACTAAAATGGAAACATTCAGGAAATATTGCCCAGTGGAAACTACAGGTTACTGAAGGGTACTGAATTTGAGTTGACATGATACATGTAGCCCATGCCTCCTTTCCTCTTGCAGGATTCTCTGGCTCAGAAGGCTGGGAACTGATAGCATGGCCAACAAGGATGTGGTGATGGGCATCACCTTCTTATCACAGACTGTAGTTGGATTTCTAGGGAATTCCTCTCTGCTTTACCATTATCTGCTCTTATACTTCACCACAAACAGGATAAAGTTCACAGATTTTATTCTTAAGCACCTGATGGTAGCCAACATCTTAACCCTCCTCTGTAAAGGAGTTCCCAGTACTATGGCAGCTTTGGGGTTGAAAGATTTCCTCGGTGATGTCGGATGCAAACTTCTTTTCTATCTTCACAGAGTGGGCAGGGGAGTGTCCTTTGGCAGCACCTGCCTGTTGAGTATCTTCCAGGCCATCACCATCAGCCCCAGGAACTCCAGGTTGGCGGAGCTTAAAGTAAAAGCTCCCAAGTACATTGGTTTCTCCATTTACCTGAGCTGGATTCTGTACATGCTTGTAAATATCATCTTTCTTATGCACATAACTGGAAAACGGAGCAACAAAACCATCACAAGTCATAAAGATTTGGGATACTGTTCTTCCATCCGTCATGACAAAACTGCAGACACACTATATGCGGTGTTGCTGTCATTTCCTGACATGCTCTGCCTGGGACTCATGATCTGTGGCAGTGGCTTCATGGTTTTGGTCTTGTACAGGCACAAGCAGCAGGTGCGACAAATTCATAGGAGCAATGTATCCTTAGGCTGCACCCCGGAGTCCAGAGCTACTAAAACCGTCCTTCTCTTGATGAGTGCCTTTGGCTGTTTTTACGCACTTGCCTGCATTTTTCAAGTATGTAACACTCTGTTGATCAATCCCAACTGGTTCCAGGTGAACATCACATCAGTAATCAGTATGTGTTTTCCAACTGTCAGCCCCTTTCTGCTCATGAGTCGTGACTTCGATGTATCTAGACTCTGCTTTTCTTGGATGAGAAATAGGAAAACCCCTAATTTTTTGAGAAACATGTAAATTGTAAGTGCTGTACAATGTTCAGTTGTTCATTTAATCATTTACACAAAATTGTAAGTGAAATTATGAAACAGTCATAATAATATTATGAATGTGGTTATATATACACACAAACATTTACATATTATAAACATGTTCATGTGTGTGTGTCATTTGAATGTGTGTACACATCAATCAGGTTATTTTGATTATCTATCAAAGAATGATACTAAAATTTTGCAAATATTTTGAATTTATTTTCAATTTAAAAATAATTTTAATACAACTTACAATAATAAACATCACACAGCAGTTACAATTTAATGATACATGTATGTATTACTGTTGATTACTTATATCAGTGGAGTTGTTGAATCATACATTTAATCCACCCTGCTCTAGAAGATAGTGCAAACGTTTTCCAAAATATTTGTATAAATTTCAGCAATACAGAATCTTTTATTTTGAGTAAAATATCACTTGACATATTTCCCTTTATAGATAGAATTTTTGTTGTGTTAAAAATGCTTACCTATATTAGAGATGTTCTTGTCTTTTTTTTTCTAAAACATCACATTATACCTTTAAGATTTACATTGACAACCCATTCAGAATCCATTTCTATGAATGTTGGTAGTGATTTCAGTCTTTTGTTTAACCAAGTAATAAATTACAACTTATTCTGAAAATGTTGTATTTGGCTTTCCTTTGATTTGTTGTCGCCTGCCCTTACCTCACCCAGGTTAACATCACATTTCCTCAGAGATACATTTTCTGTCTAAGTTTCTGGTTATAAAAGGTTCAAACTTTACCTGTATGATGACCATTTGTATACTCAATCCTGAAGTGTAACTGAATTGTACCCCACATATTTAAAAACAAAAATAAATCAGCTGTTAATCTTTTTAAAAAGGTTCTGGTTATTCTATTTCTTCTCACCTCTTTTCCATTTTTACAATGCCAAATGCAACCCACAAGCAAGGGAAGTCTTGGTGTCAGAAATCTTCAGTAGGAGAGGATTCTGTGAAGATTGTGGACTAAAAACCACCAGGAATCTCTCTCCCTCTAAACAACAATTGCACTGGCAGAATCTGTCTGGTGTAACTATTTTGAAACTCTGGATTATACTGAGGTATTGCACCTTTTGGAGGAAAAAGAAATTCCATCAGGCAAACATCAGTTTTTATACACCGAGTGAAAAACAAAAACACTCACACAACATATTTTTCTTCTGCTATCACATCACATCAACAAGGAGCAACCCAGAAGGCTTCTGTGACCAAATACGAGGGAGCTTTTCCACACACAGGGAAATAATTGATTCTGCAGCAGACACCAGGCGGGGTCCTCCAATTCAATACAATTCTGACACTATCCATCTATAGATAGCCACAGATTCCACAGGCTGAGGGCTTAGTCCCACAAAGCTGCCTCTGGCTTCAGACACCGCTGGCAAGTCTGGACCTCCAGAACTTCTAATAGAATAGCTTGAAGATGGGGTTACCACAACCCCCTCTTTGGGTTCCAGTAATTTCTTAAAGTGGCTCACAGAACTCAGGGAAACATGTTTACCAGTTTTTCATAACAGCCAGGCATGGTGACTCACGCCTGTAATCCCAACACACTGGGAGGCTGAGGCGAGAGATTGCTTTAGCCTGGGCATTTGAGTCTAGCCTAGGCAACACAGCAAAACCTTGTCTCTACAAAAAGTAAAAATAAAAAATTAGCCAAGCATCATGGCTCATGCCTGTAGTCCCAGCTATTAGATAAGCTGAAGCAGAAAGATTGCCTGAGCCCACAGTGTTAAGGCTGCAGTGAACTGTGATCATGCCAATGCATTCCTGCCTGGGCAAGAGTGAAACCCTGACTAAAAAAAAAAATATTAAAAAGTATATAGATGAAGAGATAAGAGATGCATAGGATAAAGTATGGAGGAAGGGGCACAAAGTTTTGTGCCCTACCCAGGGGCACCATCCTCCAGGAACTTCCATCTGTCTGGCTATAAGGAAGCTCTCCAAACACTGTCCTTTTGAACTTTTATGGAAGATTTATTACATAGGCTATACTTGATTAAACCATTGACCATTGCTGATCAGCTTAACTTTCAATTCCTTGTCTCTTCTTGGAGCTTGGGAAGTAGAGCTCAAAGTCCCAAATTTCCAGTTTTGCATTGGTCTCTCAGATGACCAAGCCCCATCCTGAAGCTACCCAGGGGCTACCTGAAAGAGAAAAATCTACTGAGGATGCACCTTCCCTCATTCTCCCTCATGTTAAATGTGAACACATACAAGCGTGAAAAAAGCAGCACTTTGTAGTTCTAAGCATTCTAGGAGTTGTATGCCAGAAAACTAGTGAAAAAATCAAATACATATTTCACAATATCACAGTCTACTACCAGTCTGGAACTCAGATCCCTTACATCAAAAGAATAGATAATTCAAAAGATACTGTCATATGGCTGGATTCCCATTCACTCACATTAATAATCAGTCCATTTCAGCATATTGTATTAATATCTCTCAGGGTAAGGCCACTCAGTTTTGCAGGCTTTCATTCCATGTCGGGTTCTAAAAGCAGAAGTGGTCTCAGCACTTCACTTCACTTTTTCAGGCATCTGGTATAATTGAACTAAAACACCATGTCGTCTCTTGCTCTAAGTCTTTTTTGTGGTGCTGATATAATCCTGGATACTCCTCAATGCATGGAACATGTATTCATATCTTTACCCTCAACCATTATTCTTTCTTCTCCCCATTAGTATCCAAAATTTTCCACCTTTGGAAGAGATGTTAGAATTGACCATGGTTCTAGTATAGGTTGCAGGCAACATCACTAGTCTAGAAATTACTTCCTCTTCAGTTCATTTACATTCAGATAGGGTAAGGTTACCTGGGTGCAAAACTAGTAAGCTATTTTTGCCACCAGGCAATTTAGTTGTATTCACTATTAACTTGAATTTTTCCAGATAGGGTGAAGGCAAAACCCACTCCTATCAGGCCCTTTGGAATTCTCACATAAGGTTTAAATACATGGCTACAGTTTGTTGCTTAGAAACTATTCCGACTTCTAGCACTTGTACTTGCAGCCCTGGTCTTGTGACTGCTGTGTCAGTAAGTTTAAAAAGCAAAAATAAAATTGAGGTGATGTGAGAAAGGATATATATTAAAAATCATAATATCAGGTACTATTCTCTTGGCAAGAATTGCAGTCATACCAGCAACCTCCCACACCCTCTCCCCCAGACCAACCAGAAAGAGAAAAATCTACTGAGGATGCACCCTCCCTCATTCCCCCTCTTGTTAAACGTGAACACATACAAGTGAAGCGTTGTAAGCCAGGCTTTGTTTCCATTTTAGGCAACCAGTGTTTTAATTTTTCATTCCACTTCCACATCAAATGATTTCTCTGAGGAGGCTATCTCTCTGTCCACTGCTGGATATCAGGGACTATATAGTGTGTTCCTTGGCCTGAAAAAACAAAAACAAAAATGATGCTTGGTTATCCAAATAAAAGCAACATCTTCTGTTTGTTTTTTTACAGTACTCTGAGCATTTGTATTTTCCATGGGTTAAGCAATGCCTGCTGCACAGTCAAAGTCTATTTCTGCCGGTACTTGTTTTGCAGCCTCCAGGGTGACCAGCCAGTTTCCCTTGCCAGCTATTTTCAGAGGCTTTCTACCAGGAAATCTACCCCCAAAGCCATCAGCAGTCTCTATCTGTCTTGCTGACAAACAGAACAGTTCTTACAGGTATAAATAAACATGTCTATATTCAGCCCATCTCTGTACTCCTGTATTCCCCTCATATCCATTTATTTTATAGACCCAGGTGGCCACTTCAAGGGAACACATGGAGATAACTGTTTGTCAATTCCAATCACCTTCCAAGCCTGTAAAGGAGCTTTTCTGATGAGCATGGGCATTTCTACTTTAATGCACTCCTCAAATTTCCATAGGACTATTTCCCATATAGGCATCCCTTTAATAGGCCAGGTTTTCATTGTCTTTCTGTCTATGTGACAGGGCCATTAGCCACTGCCCATGAGTCAGTAAAACCTCAAGCACAGAAGCTTTTGCCACTGTTCAGTTCTTCTATCACTGCTAGGGAAACAATCCAAATCAGCCCACTGAGCTGATTTATTTTTATCTTCTTAGATCAGAGTGGCATCCTTTCAATTAGTATGTGGTGCATTCACCTTGGAACTGCCATCCAAACACTAAGCAGCTTTTTGTTTGTTTCCAGAGTTGTGCCTAGGCCACTGTAGAATTGGAAAAAATATATAAACTAAAATTTCAAGACCTTCTAAATGCATTATGCCATAAAGCAAGTTATGTCCTGGAGACTGGGTCATGTAGCACGTTTGCAATTCTACTTCCTGGATTATAGAATAACTGTCTTCTTCATTGTTCTTGTTGTATAAACGACTAGGAGAGACCAGACCTCCCTGCGTCCAATCACTGATCTCTGTGACAGATTAACTGCCTCATTTATTGTCTTGTACCTAACTCAGATCAAAATGTGTAAAAGACCCCATGACATTCACATATTTGGTGTGAAATGTTAAATATACCTTACCTCAAAGAAAAAGACCCCTTCAACTAATCAGATCATTGTAACTATGCAATAGAAAGATACTGAAATTCGGTTAAGCGTCCCTAAACTTTGTTGACATAAACAACTCTCAACTTCTACACTTTGGAATGATGAATTCCATTCTTTAGAATCTGTGCTCCCTGGGTGACTGTTCTTCAATTTTGTGCTTGAATAAACTCTCTTGACACTAGATTCTGACCGTTTTGATTACTTTAGGTTGACAGAATCTAACAATTCCTTACACGGTTCCAGAGTCAGTCCGAGGGAAAAAGAGACTCCTTGCTCACCAGTATCAGCTCCTTGCACTCCCCAAGTCACTTCCATTGTTTCTCTGACATCATCTGAAACAGCCTGGATATTTTAGGTGTAAATATCGTTTTGTGTCCTTTAGACATAGGGATAGCTTCATCTAATGACCTAGGGTAGTAA